ATAATTCACATACCAATCAGTTCACTAATTTAATGCATATAATTTAGTGGTTTTAAGTACATGTACAGAGTTGTACAACAATCACTACAGTCAAGTTTAGAGCATTTGCATCACCCCAAAAACAAACTACCTACCCATTAGCAGTCACTCTCCACTCCCCCTTCCCACCCTTCCACCCCCCCTCGCCAATCATAAATTTACTTTCTCTCTATAGATTTGCCTATTCTGCACATTTCATATAAATGGAGTCATACAGTATGTGTCCTGTTATATCTGGCTTCTCTCCCTTAACATAACCTCTTCAAGTTTCATCCACATTATAGCATGTATCAATCATTATGTTATTCCTTTTCTTTTTTCCCTGCTGAATTAATATTCCATTCTATGGATACATCGTATTTTGTTTACCCATTCATCAGCTGGACATTTGGGCTGTTTCTGTTTTTGACTATTACGAATACTACTACTATGAACATTTGTGTACAAGTTTTTATGTGGACATATTTTTTCATTTCTCTTGGATATGTAACCAGGAGTGGAATTGCTGGGTCATATGGTAAATCTATGTTGAATCTTTTGAGGAACTGCCAGACTTGTTTTCCAAAGTGGCTGTACCATTTTACATTCCCACCAGCAGTGTGCACGGGTTCCAAATTCTCCACGTCCTCACCAATACTTTGTTACTATCTAATTTTTTTATTATAGTCATTTTGTGGGGTGTGAAGTAGTATCCAAATGCAGTCTTAAAATGCAAAAACATGGAAATACATTGGGCAAGGAAGTAAAACCTTTTATGACAAGGGAAAAGAATGAAGAGAATTAGGAAAAGGGTCCTGCTGTCAAGCTGGAAAAGGAAGCAGGCGATGTTTTTAGGTCTGTTACTCAATTTCTTTTCCTTATGCAACCAACTGTCCTAACAAAAGTGTCAAGATTGTGGACCAGCCCCCAATTTCACATCTGGAGCTTATAATAATTAAAACAACACTATTCTTGGTTTACTCATTTATTTTACAAAGTTTCTCTCCATGCTGTGTCCAATTTGATTCAACACCACAAATCTTATGTGGGAGGATATTATTATTCCCATTCTGCAGGGAAGGGCGCTGAAGACTGCAGAGGTTAACTGATTTGCCTAAGGGAACATAGCTCCAAAAACAAAAGGAAAAAAAAAAAAAAAAAAGGAATTGACAGAGCAGGGCCTGGAAGCAATTTTTAAATTTCAAATCCCAGGCCTTGGTTTCTTTTTTCCTCACCACCTCCACCTCATCTTTGTTGAGTGAGAAGGTAATGCAAAGGCAAGAGAAAGCAGAGAACAGTGGGTGTGTGTGAAGCAATTAGAAGAGGAGGCCTGCACAGCACAAAATGTCCACAACTGTACAGTGAAAGAGCAGCTGGGGACAGAAGAAAATGTTGTGATAGTGACAATAATGATGGCTGAATTGCCACTCCTCCTGTAATCAGGAAGCCAGGTATATGGCCACTTAAATCCCTAAGTTATGAACATTATATTACTCCGTGCTAACAGAAGTACAGTGAATTACTCACAATATTCATTCAAATATTTATTGAGTAATTACCATATGTTAGTCACAGTGCTAAAACAGTTGAAATAAAAAGAGCAAGAATTGAAATTTTCCAAAGTAAAATTAAATAGCTAACATTTACTAAGCCTTTTACATGTACCATCCCATTTAATCTTCACAAAACTCCTGAGAGAAGTGTCATCAGAATCCTCTTTCTATAGAAAAGGAAACAAGCAAGGAAGTTAAGTAAGTTGTCCCAAACTCACAGAACTAATAAATGGTGGAGACAGAATAAGAGCCCAGGCAGCCTGGTTCTATATCCTGTGCTCTTAACCACCACCCATTCCTTCCTGCCAGATCCTGCTTGGCTGGAAGTCACATGTGGTGATGCACCAAGACCAATAATACTAATTAATTCCAGCAGCTATTTGTTAAATGCTCACTAATACATAAAGCCCAGAGGCAAATTCACACAACAACCCCATGAAATACTTCTATCTTCATTGCCATTTCACAGATGAGAAAACAGAGGCTCAGAGAAGTGAATTAATTTGTCTAGGGTCACAGAGCTACAATAGCTAATGCTGACATGGTGCTTCCTATATACCAGACACTGTTCTAAGCACTAACTCACCTAATCTGCAGCATAACACTACAAGGTAAATTCCATTATTACCCATCATTTTAAGTAAAGAACTTGTCCAAGGTCCCACACTAGTAAATAAGTAGCAAAGCCAGGATTAACTCTAGTTTAAAGACCTCCTTCAAAAAAATTTAATGCTGACACTTGGCTACATGGTGGCTGAACAGAAATTCAAACCCAGGTCTAACTCCTGAGCCAGAGAGAACCTTCTCTCTTCTTG